CCACTCTTTCACTCTTTGTCTAAATATTTGTCACAAATTTATTGCAATTTATTTATCAAATGATTTGTCAATTGATTTCACATTGAATTCAATTATACACTAGACGTGAGCGACGACTCATATAACGATCCGATTCAACACCAAAACCGGTCAATCCATCAATGCTTACAACCGTTAGTGCCGTTCAATACATGCATTCAATTGTATAATAATTATTATTGGCTTTGATTTCTCGTCTCTCATCGCAAATACACTTCAATTTAATGATTGAAACTTTGATTAATCATTGATTTGGGAAAAGATCGGATCCGATCAACACTTCTCTAGTTATAGGTATAAACATAGAGTGCGTCCGAAATAATGAATATTTTTAGAGATGAAATGCAGTGAATTGCGTGACAATTATCTACAAAATAAAATGACATTTGAATCACATGTTATGATAGCGTAATGTTAAGCACTGATTGCGTGAATGGATTGACTGATTGCCGGAATCGACTGAATGTGTGAAATGAGTGCAAAGTTTGAATTGAATGTCTGGTCCGGCGATTGGGGTTTGCCTTCAATTGACTTCAAATGCCTTCAAATGTTAGCGTTTTGTCGCTTCAGGTAATGATAGCATTGATTGCACACAAACTGATCCATTGGGTGATGATTTCCTTAGCGGACTTCCCCTGAAGATAAACGCGACGAATAACCCGCTGTGGACTTCGTTGCCGTCCTTTCGACACAAAGAGGCAAAAGTGGTTGAAATGAAAAAACTGGTGCATTATCTTCGAGACCACAACTATTCCGCTGACTTTAATCTGTCGGCCAAAGACATGTCGGATGTGTTGGCCTACGAAGCGCTCCTCAAAAGCCATTTAGAGCCGGCATTGCTTTACTTGCTTTGGGTGGACGACCAGAACTACGTGCAACTGATGCGGGGCTGGTATGCGAAGCGACTGCCCTTTCCTACCAATTACTTCGTTCCCAATCTGTATAAGAGTGCGGCCGAGAAGACCGTTCGCTCGCGATTCGGAGGACACGCTTTGAATGGCGATATGAATGACACTATGATTGAGACAGCGATCTTAGGTGAGGCCCAGAAGTGCTTAACACTACTGTCGGAGCGTTTGAAAGACGAGTACTTCTTCGGTAAGAATCCGAGTTCTTTCGATGCGCTAGTCTTCGGATATTTGGCACCACTTCTCAAAGTCCCGACACATAATCGCATTCTTCAGAATCACATAAAATCTTGCGATAATTTAACCAAATTTGTGAATAAAATACTTCACAACTATTTCCCGACACTCAAAGAAAACGATCCGAAGAACACAACCAACGATTGCAACAACTCTTCCGGCAGTCCTACAGAAGAGGAGAACGAATTTCCTCACAAATGGAGAGATATGATACTCTCGGGTCTGTTCGCCACCGCAGCTATGGTTGGATACGCTTTGATGACCGGTTTGGTTAAGATTGATGTGTCGGACGACGACAATGAGTACGAGACGTCTGAAGCGGTTCCAGACTTGAGCGCAGTTTTCAATGATTACGAGGAAGAGCCGCAAGAAAGTGAACAGTAGTTTTGATTTCATGCTTTTAGTCAATTATATTTTGTAATAAATTTATTTAATAAATCTTAAGTCAATACAAAAGGCATTGTTTTGATTTCCGTCTTGAGTGACAAACCATTATTTCCAGATCTAATTGATTGATCTCTAATCGACTCAAACCATGAGTTTATGTGTGAATAAAATAATTGATTGAATTCTTGCGGACAACTAAAAGAATAGATGCAATGATTTAGTGGTAAACTATTGACACTATAAGCGCAAAGTGGTTGATGTGAGAGACAATTGCCGTTTTGGTGATCATTATTGCAGTAAATGATAGGATAGCCCAACAATGAGCCACATATTAGACACAAATCTGTTTCGGTGTTTAACTTAATTGTCATTTTTATTTGCTGTGAATTGGAGTCCAATTCATTGAATAGATCCCTAAGAATGCATTTCTTTGATTGGATCTGTTGTTGAGAGAGAAGTCGAGGCTTTTGAAGATCAGGTGAAACATCGATGAATGCAATGAATGAATCGCTCAATAAGTTTGATAAATGTTTTGACAATAACTCAAAGTTTGCGATAAATAAGAGATCATTGATTTGAATCACTTTAAGACACTTTAAGTCAATGTTAAACTCATGGCAGACATCGATAACGTGATCGCAATCACCAAAACTGAGTTCCCATAAATAGCAGGGCTTTTGAGACAAACCAATTGAAGTCAACTGTTGTTTCAATTCATTCATCACTGAAAACTAAAATTGAATGTTTAAACATTTTTTTGACTGAAAAAAATGTTTAAACATTTTTAACGCATAAAAAGACATTAAAAATATTGACAACAGATGTCTCACTAAGTGTTTGCGATTCTGAGCGGATGTCATATCACATCCTGTTGTGGTGTTTTGTCCGCACATTTCAAACAACAACCCAATCATGTGTGCTATTACAAGCGCACTACTGGTGATACACCTGCGTTCCCAGTAATGCCAACCATCACCTCATCTGATCCAAGCTCTACAATAGCGTTGAAAGTAAGTGGGCATTAGATTGAAAACAACGGAACTCAGGTGTATCACATTGTGGTCATTTTGTTTGTCTGTATGTGTTTAATGTATTTATATCACTCATCAGCTCCATTGAAGGCATTTAACAAAAGGTGTTACCATTGATAAGGGTATCCACTTCTCGCAAACAAGAGCGCCGATACAACAGGTTATGTTTAAGTCGATTGATGTTTTGTCTTTAGTACAACTCTCATTAAATGTATTTACATTTTATTTATATCCCATTTTGCGTTTAATTTGGATTACGAAAAAGGCGCAAGATTTCTATTTGGCTATTGAGCGAATATTATTCAAGTGGACAACAAGCACTATAGCATCAAATCATCGCTAACTTAAAAATTACTTAATACTCTCTATTATGACCACGGACTCAGGTGTTTCAGTTGCCATAAACTCATTGTTATTAAGATTTTGTATTAATTGTAACCAATAGTCTATTACGGCGACGAACTCAGGTGTTTCAGTTGCCATAAACTCATTGTTATTAAGATTTTGTATTAATTGTAACCAATAGGCTATTATTGAAAGCATTTAAAAAATAAATTCAAACATTTTTTTCAAAACATTCAAACATTTATTTCCAAACATTCAAACATTTATCTCCAAACAACTATTTACGCTAGGTATACGGTATGTTTTAACTTTTTTCATTAAAAGCTCCTTCTTTCTATTCAAAATGTTTAAATGTGTAATGCATTTGGGAAAAATCTGTAGAACGAGCTTTCTCTACAAAAAGTTCCTTCATTTAAAAGTTTTGAGTGTACTTATAAATGCATTAAAAACACAAAGTTTTAAACATGGTTTAAATAAATGGCAACATTGGTTTGACAGCACACTTACCCCGTTTGAAATGTGGCCTATAATTGGGTTATATAATTAAAAGTCAACTAAATTTAATGACAATTAACTAAACGCAAAAGTTTTGTCATTTATTTTTATAGTCAAAACACTTGTATTGAAATTTAAATCTCATGCAACATATGATCGAGTCGTTCACATATAACGTATAATAAACAGTAGCCCCTATTTGGGGGTGTTGGGGGTATTGAAGTTGTATGTAGTGTAACTTATAAGTTTGAAAGTTTCAGGGGCATTTATTTATTCTTAAAACTTAACGTTACGCTATTTAATTACCAAGCTCGCATTTTTGTTTGATATACTTTACGTGAATTACCAGCGAAATATGAACTAGATTGCATTTGTTATTTGATATAAATACAATAGTGATTAACTAAACAAGCTATTTTGTTTTGTAACTTTTAAAATAATCCTTCTGATTTTAATTTTAAATAAAACAATTTAACCATGTACAATATATAAAAATTATTGAATAAATTAATACATAAATATAATTAGCAATTAATATCTAATCAAATATATTTCGGGACAAAAAAATCTATAATTAAATGCCCGATAAATATGTGGTCTATTTGGGAACGGATGTCATAAGAGTGATGAGCTCTTCGTAATTGATCTCATGATAATCGTTGACATCGACTTCGGCCACCATTTCGTCCAACTCTTCGTTCGTCATCTGATTGTCATCTAAGGTCTGCATCGCGTGTCTGAGCTCTTCGACCGACAGGAAGCCGTTGCCGTCCCTATCAAACACTTTGAACGCCTCCCTCAGCGCCTCCTCGGCGTTGGAGTCCTTGA